CCACTAACTGATTTCCTTTCCACTGACCTGTATTTCTAAAAATGGATCATTTTCTACAACAACATGTGATTCGACTTCCCAGGGCCGTTTTCTTCATCTTCACTTATTTCCTGCTGGGGAGGTGGGGAGGGACCACACAACTCACCTACCTTGGACTAGACTTTATTTAAGATGCCAAAAGAATAAATATTTCTCTCACCTGTAATTTCAGGGAATTATTTTGTACGAATCCAAGATACACATAGAACAAGTGAAGAAAAATGAAGTTCTAAAAGTTATGGAAAGGAGCCCGTCATCTATGGAATAACACTGTGCACCCAATCCTCCTTCCAGCCCTTGTCCTGCCTGAGAGCTTCCACTGCTAGTCAGGATATCTCAAAAGCAAATTCTATTTTCTAATCACTACAATGGGTTAGTTAGACTAAGAAACAGCTGCACTTTCTGATTCTGTCCGTGCAATGAGGGTATCCAGGTGCCTGTGTCAGCCCTGGGGGCTCAGGATAGGCCAGGCTATGTCAATCATTTCCAGGCTGTGGTGACACCACCACCCCGTTGATGTCACCAAGCGTGCCTGGCAGCATTCCTGCCACTGACAGTGCAGTCGGAAGAGCTCAAACACAGTCAAAAGGATCGTTTGGTGATAAGGAAAACACACCTTTCAGCCCCGGCAGAGCCCCCAGAGCAGTGGCCTGACCCGTTCGGCACAGACTCCCTGCTGGTTTAACACCACAGAAATCCCCTCGCAGCGAACTTCTGCTGATGTTGTGAGATAACCCCGAGTCCCATGAGCGCCGGGGCTCGGGCTGGGCTTGGGAGATGTAATACTGTGATAAAAAACGGCACTTCCTTTCCAGGCTGATAAGTGCCTGTGCTTGCAGCACCGCTGGAGCCCGAGCGGGGCTCTGCCACCTCTCCTGCCTCATCCAGCCTTTCAACCGCCCCCCTCCCACACCTCAGAGCAGCACCAATTAACATCCATAAACCACAAACGTGCCTTTTATCTCTTCTTGGTTCACAACCATGAAAGCTCGCTGACATTCATAACACCCCAAAAGTTGCCTGCCTCAAGAGCTGAGGGAGTTAAGACATAATTAAACAATTCGTGCTCGACTGTGACTCCCAGAGGAAAGAGTGTGGCCTTTTTTAATTTAATTTTTAAATTAAGGACGTGTCAGCTTTGGCCACCAAAGGTAACAGTGTTGGGGGCACATAGGGAAACAGGGGAAATCAAGTGCTTCCCCCCCCTCTGTCTCATTGCTTGTCTCTTTTCAGACCAGACACAGGAAGCACCATGGGAACGGTGTATTTTTATGGTTGCAGGCGAGCGTACACCATGTGCACCACAGCGTGCAGCTTCCAGTCCCTTGAGGCAAGAACAGGGGGTTTTGTTTCTTTTTTTTCCCCTTCTTCCCCATCAAGCTTTTAATTACCATTTTACCGTAGCCTTCTGCCTAATTGTTTGCCCAATACTCAGCCATCATCATCCTGGAAGCCCTTTGCACTGGGGGGAGGAATAGGACAGGTTGAGTGTTTTCCTGGAATGGTTTCTCACCTGTGTCAGGTCCCTCACAGGTATCTCACCTGGGATAATGAACATCATCAGCTGGTGTTTGCACGTGCTCAGAGAAGTACAAATACGGAACTGTTTGCTGAAAAAGTCCAATTTTTTTCATGCTAAATGAGCACCAGTGATGTTTTGGCCCCATACATTAATTAAGTGCTTTTATGAACTCTCTGTAGGTTTTTAAAAACGATCCCAGCACCACTTTCAGCATAAAAGGCTCCACCAAAGTCAGACAACATCTAGATTGAGCAGGCTCAAAGCCTCAGAATAAATCCTCACAACTTACTCACAGTGTCACCCATGAATAATGCAAGAGTCACAAAAACGTGCAGCCCAAGAAACTGGAAGATTCCTACTCGCTACGGATGGCTGACGAGACATGGAAAAACCAGACATGGTTGTGCTGGAGAAAAACATGTTACAGACACACGGAGGCAGTGGAAAGCAGGTTATCAGAGGCCTGATCTCTCTCCATGAGTCAGTGGCCTCACATTCCCATGATGGCCTCGAGCAGATGGAACAAAGCCTGGGGGCACGGATGGTGTGGGGGTTCAGGAGGGAAGGAGGAGAGGTTTCTATGTCCCAGGCTGTCATCAGCCAGGACCTGGGAAGGTGCTGGAGTGGAATTGTTCACTCACAGGAGTGATTAACAATTATGAGAACCACATAAACGTTTTTCATTATTTCTCTTTAGATTTGGTGTGTAATGAGGAGATTAGTGAGCACCTCAATGTGCCAAATGGCTTTTTTTTTTTTTTTCTAAACCAGACAGACTTTTCAGGTGTGGGCAGGACAGAATCCTTTTCCCAAAAGCCAGCACTGATACCAATGATATTTCTAGTCTGTGGACAACACTATGTATTTGTTTTTACCAGGGTTAGTGATTCCCAAAAGATAACCCTCCCACCAGGGCAGCACTGTCAGAATGTGGTTTCATTTATAGAAGTCAGACAGTAGTTACTCACCCACAAGGACTGCTCAGGACTAACAGAGCTGCTGCTGTTTTACAGAGGGTACAACATTAAGGCTGAGATTATTTGTGAATTCTAGTCTCCAACAGCAACTGAACTGGTATCACTGGGAGGAAATTTAAGTGCACCTACTGCTGCTTGCAGGGCCCAGAGTACCAGCATAAGGTGCTTAAATATTTAAGATTTATTGTGCTTCCGGTATCAGAATGACTGTAGAGAACAGTGTGTGAAGCACTGAAGCAAACACAATGTACATTTTATCTTGTGCCATTTTACACTGAGATGCTGGAGGTACCTTTTGAGTGCATTTGAACCAGCCTCCTCCTTGCAATCATGGCTTTACTCCTTGAGAATCAAGGGATGGGGCACTGTGGGACTGGAGGTTCATACTCTCTTTATAATGAATGAGCTCTAATGGTAAGGGAGGCTGGTGGAGGGGAGTGATGTTTTATTGATATTTATAGCATTGTCTTTGAGATGTAAATTTTCTGTATTTGCATTCCAGAGCAAATTGTAAAGAGACTTTTAGAGATCAGCAACAACATAAAAAATGAATGGTGTGTAAGAGCAGCACTGATACAAACACCCTCTCACAAGTGTCTGGGTTGTCCCTGACTTAAATGCATGGAAAATAGGATGAGAAATGGTGCAGAAGGCACAGGGCAGCCAAGGAACAGGAAAAGGACTCTCTTTGTGCCATGACACTCTGTACAAGTGGTGGGGACATGGCTCCTGGAATGGGAAGGTGGGGAGAAGCTACAGCAATTCCTCTCAGATGGTCAATACTGAGGGTTTTGGGAAAGAACCCCTGTCCTGGCTCCCTGCACCCACAGCTTAGTGAGCAGGAGGAGTGAAGGGCTGGGACACTGGGAAAGCAGAGGGAGAAGTGAGTTAGTGTGAGTGGAAACGGTGCAAGGGGTAGACAAACAGCTGGAATGTGGCTGTGAATATTTTATGTGCTGTGGGATCTGGGAGATCAGCTGCCTTGGATGTGGAAAGGGCTCAAGTCTTCCATATTCTACAGATAAAAGCATCCAACTTCTCTCTTTAGTGTGAGTGGAGCAAAACTCACCTGCCCAAGGCAGGTTCTACATCACAGAGATCTCTGCTGAGCTACTCTGCACTGCCTACAGTCAGCTGCTCTGGGGACACGAGGCTTTTCATCCTGATTTGGTCTGAAAACTCTGTGATGCCTCCATAAAGTGTCCAGAAAGGGCAGACACAGTACAGTCCCAGACACACCAGTGCAGCCCCAGACACGAGTGCTGTAGATTACCTGAGTGAGATGAATGTCACCTCCTCATGGACTCTTTAGCTCGTGCATCACTCCCTCGAGTGTTTTACGTTGGTTTGTAATTTGTTAATCAATAGAAAAAGCTTAGTTCTTTAATAATGCAAAAGTTTAACCTCTGCCAAGGTATCACATTTATGTTAGAGGGAACAACCAAAGCCACTTGTGCAACCAAAGCACACAACTCTTTAGTGATTTACTTGCTTCACGCAATACATAAACTCTACCTCAAACTCCCACCCAAAGCCACAGTTTGTCTGCACTGCCATGGACCTGGGGCATGGAATGGCACCGTGGAACTGGTCACACCATGTCTGCCCTCCCCAGGACGTGTCCTGCATCCTCTACCAGCACATTCCTCACTGTGGTTGAAGCCTGGCAAAGATGAACATGCTCAGCTCACTGGCAGCAGTGGTTGTTATTGCTGTGATTTCAGTTTAGGAGCTTCTGCAGCGCAGAAGAGACTCCAAGTCTCTTCCTCTACATGTGTGTCATACCGACATATAAAACCCCAAACTCTGAGAGCTGTAAGATTGCCAAGTCCAGGAGCTGCTTCTGTTGTCTTTTATCTATAAATGAGGAGGCCCTGCTGGTTTTTGAAGACAGTACATATTGTTTTACTATTTTATTCATCCCTGTGTGTTCCCTCAGAACCGCAGGAAGGGTTTACTGTTCAAATTCAATAATAAACATGGTAAACTCACCAACCTCCTCTTCATCAACAGTTTACAGCACAGCTTTAAATTTAACAGGGTTGGGCTGTGAATGAGCTAACTTGTTCTTTCTTTAAAAAAAAAAAAAGATAAATCACCAAGTTGTTTTTCAGGTATGAAAGTACTTAACAGCATTAATAAAAACTGCAGCCCTGAGACAGGATTTGTCCATGCAAACGGCTTTTAGGAATTTGTGTGTTACCACACACATTAAAAGGCTCAGCAGATGCACTTGCCTTTTTATCTTCCCATCCATATTTCATAAATCCTGTAAAACTGACCTTGGTAAAATGCACGTGAGGTTCCCTGATGGAGAACAGTTGCTCCTCCTCAGAGCATGTTGAAATGCTCCAAACGAGGTGTATTGTTATTCCTTTTACAGACATGATCTCACAGCATAATCAGGTGAATAGAAAGACAAAACATAACTATTATTTTTCAGAATTCCAACTCCACTTTACCTCCTGCTTCTTCATTAGACTGATTGTGTTCCTTCATGTCTTCCACATTATCCATGCTTTCCATTTCCTGGGATTTGTTCAGATTACAGTCTGTCAAATCCTCTTGTTCTTGTGAAAGAAAAACAACAACAAAACAATAACTACTTATGCCCTAAGAATATTTCCAGGTGATTCCCTCAAAGCATCTGCACCCTCCCAGTACCACTGACAGTGCCCACATATTCCTATGGATACATTACTTGCAGTTTGGGGGAATGATTTTGTTCCCAAAGTCCCACACAAACTCTCACACCTTGAGCTCATTTTCAGAGGGCTGAATTTTGGTTAACAAGAAAGTGAAGTGCTTATCCAGCTCACTCAGGAGGTTTGTTTTCATATTTTCAGAAATGCAGTCAACCAAGAGAATCACATTATTCTTGCTTCCCTAATCAAAACTTCCAGCTTTCTCCTGAAAACATTTTCTTTCCCTCTATACAGTCTTTTTTTCCACTTTACTGTTATTTTGAAATGTTATATTGAACTTCCACAGTTTTATTTCAAGTATAGAATTTACTTTTTTGTCTCAAGTGCCCATCTTTGTATTTGTGACTGTGTTATTCAGTGTCCTGGGAACCTGAACAAGCTGCAATTCTTATATTTTTCCCCATTTAAATGTAAAATTGCCAAGAGAGGGTGGAAGAACATAATTGAACAGCACAGTACCTGCAGCCACGGGCTGTTCCTGAGGGTTACTGAGGTCCATCCCGGGCTGTGAATCTGCAAAAGACAGAAAAGCAGCTTTAGGTGTCTAACATTTAGGACAGTGTGTGACACGGTATAATCTTTTAAATTACCATTTTCTTGGCTGAAAGCAAAATTGAAAAAGCAGGCTTTCAAATAAATAAATACCAAATTAGTGTTTCATTTCACTGTACAACATCTCCATATCCTGAGCACTGGCCTGTGCCCAGAAAAGGGATTAAGTATGATTTTCTAACTTCAAAAAGTTACAGAGCAGAGTAACTTATGCTTTCGATTTCCTCCTTGTGTGAGCACAGCACAGCGGTGGTAACTCCGTAGGAAGGGAATTTCTCCAAAGCACAAAGATGCTTCACATTCCTTTCCCAAAACAAAGGGAAACCCCTGTTATCTCCACAAGATCGACTCGGTTTTCCGTGGGAATGCAAGCCTAATTCCCGTTGAGAAATTCCGATAGGGATCAAATGCCAGGCATTTTAAAAATACCTCAGAGGACTACCCCATGTGGCCTGGTTTCCCAGAGGGCTCAGCAGGGCTCTGGAGCCAGCACAGGCTGCAGGTATTCCCATCTCCCACCCCAGTGCCCTAATTTAGGCTGGGGAGTTGAACAGGAGCTGTCCTGTAACATCTCCACTCAAGGCCTCACTGCCTCGAGATTTCATTGATATGAGTTTGATTTTCTTAACGGACTCACAGCTACCTGCTTCCTGCCTCCTTTCTTTCCTCTAGCTGTACCTCCTCTTTATCTCTAACACGCTAGAAAATCTTCTGTCATCTTTGCACCCATCAAACAATAGCTCCTGGACTGGGAAAATTCCTTCCTGGCAGTTACATAACAGAACCACCCAGGCAGCGGGCATGAGGTGTTAACCACGGGTGACATTTACCCCACCATTATCTGTCTTTACCTCCTCTGCTTATGGAACATTTCTGTGGTCTCTGCAACGTCAGAATATAAAGCTCTGGCAGCTCTACAGCCAAGCAGCCTGGTATCAGACGAGGCTCTCCAAAAACTGCATGAGTAGAGAGGGTGGGCTGATGCGTGCAACACAATGAAGGCTTTTCACCGAATTAAATGACCCCGAGAGATCAAATATTTACCAAATATGTGTTTTTCAAAAAATAAAAAGGATCAAGGGACTCCATAGTTACAGCCCTTAATTTCTCTGATTCGTTCCCTCATGCCAGGAAAAGCGAGGTGCAAAGAAGCAAACGGACCAATTTATACAGCAAATAACGATGAGGAAACATCACTAAATTCCGGGTACAGGAACAAACTTCTCTCTACTATTGATTTTCACTTTACACTGCAATAATAGCCCAGAGAAGCTGTGGCTGCCCCAGCCCTGGAAGTGTCCAAGGCCAGGTTGGATGGGGCTTGGAGCAACCTGGGCTAGTGGAAGGTGTCCCTGCCCATGCCAGGGAGTTGAACAGAATGAGTTTAAGGTCCCTCTCAAACCAAACCGTTCCATGATTCTGTGAATATAAACACTTAAATTACACAAATTCTTGTAATTGCACACATAATTAAGCTTTGGGCAAGACAATGAAATCCCCATTATTCTGCCACACTTGATTTCAGTTTTAATTGCATTCAGCAAGACTGGGCAGTTGCCCCATTTCAGTGCTGAGGGTCAAAGCCCCAGGATGGAGCCCCAAGGCGCTGGTGTGGCTTGGAGCCTCGGGCAGCAATTCTGCCTTCTCCTGGGCTCCTGGGAGGTCTTGGAAGGAAGAACTGGAACCCCTACCTGGATGCTGCAACTCCAATAATTCCGCATACATTCCTGGATAGCTTTATCTTTTCAGGAACCATTGGATTCCCTGGATATTTCCTACAGGGTGACTTGCTAGAGAATGGCGCTGCCTGAGCCCAGCGAGAGCCAAGCAGGACCTGCTCACCCTCCTCGGACCCCCATCTCCTCCAGGGATTTATTCCTACTTTGTTGGGCACAACAGGTTCTTGCCCAAGATGGGCAGGACAACCCCTCAGAAGAGATAAGAACAACGACACACCAGAGAATGTTTCTCATCTTGGTTGAGAAACATCCCGGTCTTTGTCTCTCTTTCAAGCCTCCAACCTCCCCTCACCAGCACCCGGTTTCTTTACAACACCAGCCTCCAGCAGCTTCTTACAGCCTTACTGGCCCCTTAATATTTAACCTCAGGTCCCTTTCCTGAGTATTTTAAGCCAGAGAGGAAGGCCTAGAAGATTCCTGATCCTGTATCAATGAGACCCAAGGTTCAGAAAAGCACGAGGCAGCAGGAAATCACTTACAGAGCACGCTCGTCCTCCCAAGTTTCAAAGAGCTCCACTGGCTGGGGTGCATGGGAAGGGGACGCCCGTCCCTCTGTGCTGCAGCTGAGGCACAAAGTTCTTCACAAAGCAGAAGTAAAATTCGTGTGCTTTCGAAACCAATCCTTGGCCATCCTGTGTTCTATGCCAATGGCCACAGGGAGCCAAAATATTCAAATGGTTTGCTAAAAAAAGAGCTCTGGCATTTTAATGTGTAACACCGATCATGCTCTCTCCTGGTGTCTCACCAGAACAGCCTACCTGAATTTTAACTGCCCTAAAATGGGTATTTTTCAAATCAATGGTAACATTAACACCCTTCTAATCCTCAGTACAGCTGTAGCCAACAGAGGTATGTCTGGAATTATTATAATTTTACCTGTTTGTCCCCAAAGTGAAACCAGAAATCTGCCTTTTTCCTGCCAGCTGCAATTTTCAACCCAACAGCACAGGGAAGGGGACAAGCTTTTAAATCCCATCTGCCCTTAGTCCTCCCATCACAGCATATGGAGCAAACACGGCCAGTTTCCTTGTCTTTGCAGCATTTTAAGAATTTAACAAACAAGCCATAAATAAAACACTACTTACACCACTCAGCCTCTTTCACCCCAACGTGTTTTTCACCTCCAACCTGCATTGGGCCGTTAAGGAGAGAAATTCCAGCTGATTTCCCCACTGAATATCCTTGTCCAGCATCCACATTCTCCATGGCTTTCTAAAGAAGGCACCTGGACCAAACAAACTCTTTGTGGGGTCTCTAATGCTTTGCTGCTCTTAAGCACCATGCAGTGTGTGAAGTGACACTCGTGCTGTACCATGTGATCTTCTAAACCCAGCAGAATAATTCAGTGATTCAACACAGAATATCCCAAACTGTAGAATATCCTGAGTTGGAAGAGACACATTAGGATCATCAAAGTCCAACCCTTGATCCAGCAGGTTGATCCCAGCCCAGCACCTGGAGCTGACAGCAGGGCAGTTCTTTTGATAGTCACAAAACCAAACCAGTCGTGGAGAGAGAGAACCAAATTAATGACAAATTTTGGCTCCAACATCTACTCTGGCCAGGGCTCCATGACCATACTGAGCCTCCTCACAGTGGGCATGGAAAATCCAGGACAGCAGGGTTACCCCTCTGTCCTCAGAGGCACATTCCCTGCTGATCCCAGAGGAACTGAGATTTTTCCAAGACCCACAGAAACACTCTTGGCAGTTACTATATCCAGGGATAACACTGCCCTATCCAGGGATAGCACCTACTTCATCCCCATTGTAACAACCTCAAGCACAATTAACGAATCCCCATCCTCCTCAGTACAGAACCAAAACCTGAAGGATTATTTCCACGTCCACTTGGACCCACGAGAAGCAAGAAAGCCAAAAAAGAGACTTCTTAGATAACCTCAGTTGTAGTGAGACATTATTTTCTAATGGCAGACTATTCCCAAGTACTTCACAAGTTTTCTCTCCCAAAAAGACAGTGATCCCGACTCCATCAAGAAAACAAGGCTCCATTTTTAAGTGCTAAGCTGCCCCCAAATCCATTCTTTCAAAACGTTAGTTACTCTTTCAAGCAGTGATAGTCTCGATTCAGTCAGATTCAATGAGTGATTATTTACATACAGTTAGAAAGCCTTTAGCAAAGGAAAATGCATTTTTAAATAGGTAACTGCAGCTAACTTCAAATAAGCAAACTCCTCAAGTCATTGAGACAGAGCAGAATCTAAACTCTAGCCCTTGAAGCACTGAGTTGCAGTAAGAATCTCCGCCTCTGAAATAAGAAACCAAGTGATGCTTTGCAAGGCTTCTTTGCCAGGTTTGTTAAAAACACAAGAAATGTTGATTTGCTTCAAAAGGGAATCATTGTACACCCCAAGATTAACTCCCAGCTTGGTTTTTGCTGGCTCTGAAGATTACGGGCACATTTTACAAGTGAAAAGAAACCAACACACCCTAGAATTCGTTAAAACACCAGAATAGGACCAGCAGATAAAGCGGGCCCTAAACCCCGGCTTTACCACACGCGCCGTGATGTCTCTGAAATTAAACAGAGAGGGGGTCAAGCAGCCCCGCTCGTTTCCTGCTCAGTCGCTACATTTCTCCTCCAGAGCCCGCGATCTGCTCGCAGCAAGCGCCGAGGAAGCGGCCGGAGGTCCCCGGGGCGGTGGAGCCGCTGCGGGGCCCCGGGGTCCGGGAGGGAAGAAGCGGGGGGGGTCGTTTCTCACCTTCCATGCTCCGGCCGCGGGTCCCGGCTCCACCTGCCCGCCCGGGCTCGGCACTGCCGGCGGGGAGCACCGGCCTCACCTCCCGCCCCGCTCCGTGACATCCGGCCCGGGCTCGGCGGGCGGAGAGCGGCGCCGGGCGGCGGGGACGGCACCGAGCGGCACCGGGACACCGGCCCTGGAGCCGCTGCTGCTGCTGCCGCCGAGCTCCAGCCCTTCGGGGTGCGGGGGGTTTAAGGCGCAGCGCCTGTTTTGGGGGGCTCGGGGAGCCCCCAGATACTTTGGTAGGACAAAGGGCATCAGTGCCCTGCGTGCCCTCAGACATCTCAGGCTGCATGGTGAAGTTAAATGACTAAGAGTGAATAAAACTTAGGTTCAGCCGGCTGTTTTTCTTAGCAGAACAGCGTTGTTATTTAGCAGAGAGTCAAGGCGCAAAGATCTTTAATAAAATAAAGCAAACATGAATTTCAAGGTCCTCGGGAATTGTTAAATGATGATTTTTGTGCATCTAGCACAGAATCCTGAAAGAGGCTCACTGCACACTGGGCCTGGATAGGGCTTTGGGTGACCTGACCTGCTGCAGAGGGTGGCACCAGGTCCCTGCTGTGGCAGAGGGTGGCCCCAGGTGACATTTACAGGTCCCTTCCAACCTAAACCCAGTTAATGCAGTGGCAAATGAAATTGGGATCCGAGCTTGGATGTAAATCCAAAGGCAGTGAGTGTGAATTACCACGGCTCAGGTGTGGGATAACAGCATGGAAACATGATTCTCCTACTCACTTCCTGTGTGGTGCCATCGAGTCCTTCTTCAACTGTTGCTTTTCCATCACTTGCAAAATGATTCTAGAAATAAAATTTGAAAAAAAAAAGTTATGTGGGATAATGAAGTCCAATTCTCTGCTATTTCAGACAATCTCTGTGTACCCCTTGCAGAACCACTTGGGAAGGAATTAGGAAGGTTTCCTGCTCCTGTGAGCTCTGAGGAAGCCCTGGGACTGCTGTGTGACAATCAAAAACCTCTGGTTTCCACCCCAGGATTATGCAAGGCCATTTTCTCTTGCTGCCAGATTTGTTCTCCAATTTAAATCTTTATTTTCCATCGCTTTTACCATCAGATAAATCACTTGTGTCTTCTCTCTGTTTTTATTTTAAGGGCAGAAATCAAATGAGCTTGGTTTTGTCAGCCTGTAAAAATGCCACTGTGCTGACTGTGCCCCTCCTTTGTGTGATCCCAGCTTTGGATCACTCACCTTAAAGATCAGAGACAGAATTTGTGCTCTGCAGCCCAGGTAGCTCCTCTCCAGAGCCCTGCACGGGTCCTTCACCTGACTTTGTACTCCTGGAAGTTTCTTTACATATTTCCTAGGATAAAATATTCACCTTTTTAGTATCTACTCACACCACGATCGAGTTTGTGTCAGATTTTTTACTCTTTTATCATTTCCTACTGATAGAGCTTCTATTAACAAAAACCCCCAGTAATCCAGGGTTTAAGCACAAATACCTGAATTCACATTTTGTCCTATTAAATCCTCCCCCTGACACTCCTTGTTCCTAAAAATAACCAACCTTTTTCCCCCCTGAGCTTACAAGTCTATAATGACAATTTATCAATCTGTGACTTAGACATATTATAGATTTGAAAATAAATGAGTCATTTGGCTAAAGACACAGACTCAGAGTTTATAAAAATTCAAAACTGAAGCCAAAGCTTTATAGTAAAGATATTATTTTATAATAATTAACAAGCTGGGCCTGTGCAGGACGTGAAATGAGTTATAAACATCCTTAGGAACTGAGGCTGTTCAGGCTGAAAAATGACTCGTTTATAGCAGACACGTTAAAAACTGAATCATTTTGCCTGCACGGCACCAGAGTGAAATGTTCACTTTGAGTAAAACTGAGAACATTCAGCACATGGGAACGTGGGATCATCTGAGGTGGTCCCAGTTTTGTCCCGCTCAGCAGCTCAACGACATTAAAAATGAAAACCCTGACATAGTTCTTACACCTTAACCAAACACTCGAGTTAATTTCTTGGTCTAAGGGAGAAGAAATATTGAGTAAAACTGTTTACCATCAATAACTTGATACCTTCTTTTTCAAATTTTTTTTCTATTTTTGGCAAAGTTTTTTTTATTAAAGGGAACTCGTAACTTACGTGCCTTTTTTACATGGAAGCATTGAGTTAAACTTTCACAGCCCTCTACAAAAATAACTCTCATTCCTGCGTTGGTTGGTTCCATATTTGCTATGCAAATACTATGACATCACTTTTGGACACTAGTATGGCCTGGGGTGATAAATATGATCAAGTTAATTATGATAAACATAATTTAGCTATTTACCAGAAGCCTGGCCACCGTTCCTGGTCTGGAGCCTCTCAGGATGTGAGGTGTGGTCAAACGCAAGGACCCTCCTCTCCCTCTCAGTTTCCTGAGTGTTTTTGTATCACTTGCACTAGAAACAAAATATTCACACATTTAGGACTTTCAAAGTAAGTTTCCCAAAATATGTAACTGACCTGGAAGTTACTCGCAGTAATACTGTGGCATCTGGTTTTATTTTCCAGCCAACAGGACCTGCCTGGCACTTACTTTCAGTCACAGCAAGTGGCAGAACCTTGGAAACCAAGAAGGGTTTGGGTTGGAAGGGACTTTAAAGCCCATCCAGTCCCACCCCCCGCCATGGGCAGGGACATCTTCCACTAGCCCAGGTTACTCCAAGCCCATCCAACCTGACCTTGGACACTTCCAGGGCTGGGGCAACCTGTGCCAGGGCCTCCCCACCCTCACAGGGAGGAATTTCTTCCCAATATCTAATCTAAATATCCCCTTTTTAGTTTAAAGATAGGACAAGTCCCCTTGTCCTATCACTCCAAGCCCTTGTCACAAATCCCTCCACAGCTCTCTTGGAGCGCTTTCAGGTACTGAAAGGGATGTTTTTTGGTTTTAAGCTGAAAAATATGTGTCCCATAATGACTCACTCCAGAAACCTGCAGCTGGAGAACACCCAGTGCTTTCAGCCCCTCCGGAGGTGAAGCCACAGGATGTGCCCGGCTCTTACTTTCAGTCTTTCTCACAACAAGTGACAGAATCACAGAATCCCAGACTGGTTTGGGTTGGAAGGGGCCCTAAAGGTGATCCAAGTTCCACCCTTCGCCATGGGCAGGGACACCTTCCACAGCCCTGGGCAGGTTCAGCACTGACACAGCCACGACAGAGCCCATTCCCTCCTCCTCCTTCTCCTCCCCCCTATACTTCCCTCTCCTTGTCCCACAGCTGGAAAAACCACTTTAGACTCAAAACCAAAGCCCAGTACGCACTTTGCGAGCGATGCGGGGCCGAGGGGTGACAAGGGGGGGGGGTGTGGGCCGGGGGGGGCCTTCCTTCGCAACGGCCCGAAAGCGAGAAAAAAAACCCAACAAAATCCTGCTTAAAAAGCACTGGCGCGGGGCGGGTGAGGAAGGAGGATGTTTTAAACACAGTTTAAAAAGCACCGGGTGTGGGCGAGGGGCGGGTCAGAGACGGGAGCGAAGGACGCCGGCGGGGTCACCCCCCCCCCCCCCCCAAAGCCCTTCCCGTCC